CGTTGCGTTCTTCTAATAATTATAAAAATGGTTGATCCTCCCGTTCTGAAACTGTAGCTTTTGTATGGGGAAACGGAGCGGTACCGTCGTATCCAAACAGAGCCTGAGTCACCAGTATGTGAGCAAAAATAACATTGGAAGAGGGAACTTTTTTCAAAGGTGATAAGTTAGCTAGTTATTCGTGCAGCACTATTGAGAGCAATAATGGGCTGGGGGGGGGGGGGTGGTAGATTCTATTCTGAATTAGGCATTTTATCTATTTTAATATCATACCCCCCCCTTTTCTTTTCTTTTCTTTTTTTTGTCCATGGGCGTAAGCTCAATCCACTATCATAACATACGGTACCGGTACTTGTACTGTACCACATTCATGTCCTTCTATCATACTCGAGTATGAATTTTCCAAAACCCCCTTCGAAGGGGAGAGGGGGGAATTTTGGTTCATGCCACCACTGCATATCATACCGTATTCGACAACGTCTTTACGATACCGGTACCGGTAGACCAAGCAGCACGAATTCCGTGCGAGTACAGAGCAAAGGGAGTATCACCAAACCCAAACTATTAAAAAGAAAACCGTCCTTTCCGGCCTCAGTATTGTACCGGTTAGCACACTGAAGAGCCACGGGTAGTAGACTACTGTTTACTCATTACTGAAGAATCATCTTTTCAACTTTGAATACCCTTACTATTCATGCTATGTGGGTTTCATGCCCTTGGATGGGTAAGTGAGTCCGTCGGTAGAGTAGCGGTATATGAACCGATTGTATCGTACCTTTCCTCCTTTTTAGTACTGCATTCCCCTATCGAATTGTTAATTTAGGCCCCCGAACTCTAGCTGCTTGTTGGACTTTTCTTTTTTTACTGTGGTTTTGTCTTTCTTTCTTTCTGGTTCTGTGTTTCTGGGAGCAGAGGTGGTGAAACGGACTTGGGGATGAACCTTCTCGTCAAAATTGTTTTTTTCTCTGGCTGATTTTATGGAATTTTCCGAGATGGGATATATTGTTATTGTTCATAAATTTTGGAGTATCATCATACTGATGTCGATATGGTTACGACACGCTACTAGTGATGGTTGACTTTCCCTCGTTTCATCGCAATATCCAGCCACAGATGTTCTACAACACAACTAACTAATTTAAACCTTTGGTGCCGCATCTAGCCACCCTTTATAAATCTCCTCGAATCGAGTACCCTCGCCCATGATAGTCTCGCAAACAACTCGCGCATTCTCCCCCCACTTTTCAGCCCTCTGCATCTCCCCCAACGCCGCCCAAGAGATACACAATTGAGACATCGTGGGCATCGCGTGAATATCCATGTACCCAGCTCTTCTCATGCTTCCATCATCCTCGAATTCAAATCCGAGGGCAGATAACGAATCCATGCTTACCGCTATCCCATCCAGTGGCTGGTGTTGGTGGTACGTTAGGGCTAGCGTCCAATAGACGTCAAGGAGTTCTAGTCGTGGGAAGTCGCTGGGGGGAAGAGTGTATGTCTTTTCAACCTCTAAAATGCATTCCTTCAGAGCTTCTTGTTGTGATTTTTGATTAAGGGATGGAAGTATGGTGGCGAAGGATTCCAGGATTGAGGCTCGGTTCTTACGCACTTGAAGGGATTCTTCCGTTTGAATTGTGCAGTATGCACAAGTACAAGTGAAACCGTAGCGATCTTGTAGATGAGTTTGTCGGGATCGCAGGTCTGCATAGAGGGAGACGTAAGACGTGAAGAGCTCGGAGCCAGAAGGGATGTCGGCTGCTGCACGGAGGATCATAACGTCGCTGGATTACATTAGCTTGGATATGTTGGTGTGGCTCGTGGCCTGGAAGTGAGGATACCCGAGGAAAGAACGACGTGTGTTGGTCCAGCACGCGTGGTTCATGAAGGAGGGAAGAAGCCATAGCCCTTCACCATATGGCGGCTCTTCTCGGATCGTATTTATGTCGTGGTATGACGGTGTGAAGCAATTCACGTCGTATATGTCCCTGATAATTTCTCTTTTCCCAGTATTAGCTGAATAAAAATCACAGCTACTCTTTGGGTAGAGTACTCACGTGTCTAGAGCATAGGTGTCATCGATAATTCTGGGTTCCACGCCCTCTTTTCCCCTCCAGAGCTCGAAGAATCCTTTTTGTAGACCCTTCTCGTTGTGTAACCTTTCGGCAACCTCGAGAATGCAATCCAGTTTCATATCCTTCAACTTTTCGGAGTTGCCGAGATCTCCGTCGGAGAGATAAACAAATTGTAGAGCTTTACTGACGAGTAATAGATCTCCGGTTTTGACGTTTTTTGTCGTATATAACCCCTTACCGAATTTACCGACTTTGACTTCAACAGGTCCAGTATAATCCGCGACATCGAGATAGGAACTAGGCCTCGTATTCAGCGGCTTTCTGATCTTTACCCAATTGTATTCCCCCCTGGTCTCTGCGATCCTTTGATGGCATCTTTCGAGTAGGAGCTTTCCTTTAACATTCAGGGGATCGAGTGTCACCAATTTCTGGAGGTTTGTTTCCGCTTCGGCATAATTTCGTGCAGCATAGTGACACTTAGCTAGCTTGAGGGAGTTTTTGGGGTCCGATGGGTTGGCTGATATTGCTGCCGTGGCGTCTTGAATGGCCGTATCGCGAAGGGAGAGTTTGAACGCTGCCTGAGCACAGTTTCGGTGTATCAGGTCAGAGGGCACCGAATCTTCTGGTTGGTGAAGGGCTTGCTTGTAACTAACCCGTTAGCACCTAAACCCGAACCTTGAGACTGTGGGGAAATGTTACAGATCGAAAGCACCCCAATATGATTCCTGGGTATATAGATCATTTCCTTTCTCTTTAAGTTCTTCTCTACCTTTCTCTCGCCACCCCTGCACTACACGAAAGCCTTCGGGAATGAGATTGGAGGTGCTAGGAATGGCATCCCAGTCACTTCGATGTCTGACCATCAAGGCGACAACGTGTTCACCGTCCTCCCTGGTTTGAAATCTGACGAATGGCTCTTTGATCAAAGCGTACCACTCCCCCTCCATATTCCTCCAGTTATTCTTCCTCCAATTATTCTGTATCTCTAAAATACAGCTCGTCCCCTTCTCATCCGACCAAACCCCATTCTCAGTGCGCAGCACAAAGTATCCGCCCCGCAACCGCCCGCTCTTACGCGCATCTTCGAGAAGCGTGTAGCTCAATTGGTCCAACGGGAGAACGCTAGGGCCTGGGCTGGCTAAAAAGTCTCTGACTAGCAATCGTAGAAGCGCAAGGATACTAATCTCAGCATGGTTCTCGGGGAACAGCAAGACGATAGTCGTCTTGTAGAAGGCCCAAGTAGCAAGGATCCCTAGAGAAGTATTTATTATGAAGGTCAGCATGGTATTTTCGTCTATCTGTTGAGGACTTTGGGAAAACGATGACGGCGGTGAAAAGGAGAGATTTAGTTTGGTTTTCACCTGTTTTGAAATGATAGACCCCGCTGGACTGCCAACAGAGCCATATATAGCAGGACACGTAGTGCGCATCATGTCGCACGAATAGAAGGGAGGGCTTGATGGATGCGGGTACCTACATCCTTTTCCTTTTTGAATGTATGAAAGGTGAACAACTAGAGGTGGTTCACATTTGAATGAGAGGTTAAGTTTCACTTATTGATTGAGGGGCTGGAGAAGCGCACGGACCAATTAGTGATCATCTGTATGGATTTGGTTGAGGAAGTTAGGGGTTAGGGCTGCGAGCGTTGTTTTACTTGGTAATTTTTCTCCCCCTTCACCTCGCATTCACCAAATCACGCTTTGAAAAAAGTGAGAACGAATGAAGACTCAATTTCATATCTATCAAATGGAGAAGGGAGAGAAAATAGACAAAAAGAAGGAAAGAAAGGGAATCGACAAGAAGAAGAAGAGAAAAAGAAATAAAGAACATTTTGGATAGATGAAAAACGGGAAACATACCAAACGATAAACAACAAAAGAGACATCACCATCATGAACGCGCGGACATAATCGTACTTTTCATCCTGAGAAAAACAATGACAACACAACAAGAATCATCAAGGAAGATGGAAGGGACGGAAAGGAGGAGAAGAAGAATTAAAAGTAAAAAGAAAAAAGAGAGCGAAATGGAAATCACAGACTACGACATATATGAACCCCTTTCTCTCTCTATACTCCACACATCCATTCAACTTCCTCGCGCTTTCCATCATCCCATCTCTATTTTCCCATCTGCTATCCCGCGTTCATCTCACCTTACCCTACCCACCCGCCCACCCAATAATAACCATCCCCCCCGGACAAGAAAGAAAAAACTTATTTATTTAGCCACGTTCTCAGCGAACCACTTGCAAAGGTGCGAAACAGTCGGGTGAGCCCAGATCAGGGTGGGGGGGATGGTGACTTTGAAGGTGTCCTTGAACTGCTTGCGCAGGCCGACAGTCATGACCGAGTCCATGCCGAGCTCGGAGAGGGGTCTATGAGGGTCGACGTCGTCGGGGGAGGACAAGCGGAGGACCGAGGCGACGTCGGCCTTGATTTGCTTCTCTAGGTGCTTCTTCAGCTCCGCTGGGTTGGTGGGGAGGGAGAGGCCCGTGGGGGAGGTGCTCGATTTCTTGGTTGACTTGGACTTCTTGGTTGGGGGAGCGGCGGCGGCGGCAGCGGAGGAGGTGGGCTTCACGTTCTCGGTGAACCATTTGGTTAGATGAGCGACGGTTGGGTGAGCCCAGATCAAGGTTGGTGGGATGGTGACTTTGAAGGTGTCCTTGAATTGCTTGCGCAGGCCGACGGTCATGACCGAGTCCATTCCGAGCTCGGAGAGAGGGCGGTGGGTGTCCACGTCATCGGGGGAGGAGAGGCGGAGGACCGAGGCGACGTCGGCCTTGATCATCTGCTCGAGGCGCTTCTTCAAGTCTACTGGGTTCGAGGGGAGGGCGTTACCGGAGCTGCTGGGGGTGGACTTCTTGGGGGCCTTTGATTTCTTGGGCGCGCTGGAGGTGGTGGCAGCGGCGGAGGGTGCGGATACTTTAGCGTTTTCTGCGAACCATTTGGTCAAATGTGCGACGGTTGGGTGGGCCCAAATAAGGGTGGGTGGGATGGTAACTTTAAAGGTGTCCTTGAATTGTTTTCGGAGACCGACAGTCATAACCGAGTCCATTCCGAGCTCGGAGAGCGGGCGGTGGGTGTCAACATCATCAGGGGAGGAGAGGCGAAGGACTGATGCGACGTTAGCCTTGATTGTTGCCTCGAGGTGCTTCTTGAGGTCGGCGGGGTTTGATGGGGTGGTGGCGGCAGGGGCTGATTCTTCATATTCACTATTCTCCTCGTCCTCAGAGTCGACTTCGGGCGCTGGGCGGCGGGCAACGATATCGTTGAGGATAGGAACCGCGGGGGTAGCGCCCTCGTCGATAGGCAGAGACCGAACAACAACGACCTGAGGAACATCATACTTGGCAGCGTACTCCCAGGCGCGGAACGCTTCGTCACGGGTGACAGAGGTTATGCCCTTGGACTCCATCTCGGCATCGATATAGTCAGCGGAGGTAGAGGCAGACATACCAAGGCCGCTCCAAGCAGTCCACATGAGTGAGAGGGTGTTATCGCCAGAATTGCGACGGTAGTTGGCGAGGGCGTCCAGGAAGGCGTTACCAGAGGCATATGCGCCCTGCCCGGGGAAGCCGAAGAGTTGACCGCAAGAAGAGAAGAGGGCAAAGAAGTCGAGGGTTCCGACGGGGAAGGCGTTGTGAAGAGCCCATGACCCATCAACCTTGGGGGTGAGGACGTTCTTGAAGGATTGTTCGGTGGCTTCGTGGGTAAAAGCGTCTTCCATGACACCCGCGGCATGGACGACACCAGTGACGGGAGGAAGAGACAAGTTATCGAGAGCCTTCTTGAGATCCTCATCAGCGCCGGGCTTGCCGAGATCCAAAGAAACAGTGTTGACGGCGACTCCCAGAGCTTCAATGGTCTTGACCTTGTTGATGATACCGGCGTTGGGGCCGCTGGTAGCGCTGGACCAGGTGGATCTGAGGGGTAGGCCCTTGCGGGAGAGGAGGACAAGACGGCGGGCACCCTTTTCGGCCAGCCAGCTGGCAACTTCGAGACCTAACACACCGAGACCACCGGTGATGAGGTATGTTCCGTCGGGTCGGATCTTGACGGCAGACTTCAGGTCGCTTCCAGGAGTAAGGGAGGCCTTAGGGAGGGCGCGGAGACGGGGAATCTTGCTGACACCGTCACGGACGATCACCACACCCGCCTTGCGGATGAACTTGAGGACCTGGAAGGGGAAGGCAGGCTCGTCGATATCAACCAAACCACCCCACAAGTCAGGTTGCTCAGAGGCAATAATACGGGCGAGACCTAACATCGAGGCAGCGGCAAGAGAGTATTCGTTCTTTGCGTTCTGGGCTTCCTCAGTGATGACCCAGAGCTTGGCGGAGGAGTTGAAAGTGTTGAGACGCTTGGTGATTTCGAGGAGCTTGAGGGTATTGGCAAAGTTGGTTTGGGGGAGTCTCTCGATATCTTCGAGCTCATCGGGGAGGACGATAACAACGGTTCCAGTCTTGTGGAGGACATCAGAGTGTGATTCGATTTCGCTAGGGCTCTCAATGACCTTAACACCGAGACCACGCTTAGTGAGGGTCTTCTTGAAGGGACCAAGGAGGGAGTGGTCTTTGTTGGCAACGAAGACGACATTATTGAGAGGAGCGGGGGTGCTGTCAAGTTGGGCGGCGGTCCAGTGGAGGCTGTGGGCGAGGGACTCAACGCTGCCGCTGACACCGGGAGTGCCGTCTAGCTGGGAGAAGCGCATACCCCGGAGTTTTGCGAGGACCTTACCGTCCAGAGCGGTAACAACAACATCGGCAGTCCAATCTTGGCCGGGAACTTCACGGACGTAGATCAGTGCGCTTGGTGGAGGGGGGGCGGCAATGGTGATGCTGTCGATATGTGCGGGCATACGGAGGATAGGGGATCTGTAGAAAACGGCGGAGCCAATGGAGGTGGCGGCATCCAAGATACAAGCCCATGAGGTGGGGTCCCATGGGAGGTCAGTTGATCCATCAGGAAGGGCGTTGACCTTAGCGATGAACTCGCGGTTACCCTCGACGTGGTTCTCAACGGTCCAGGGGAAGCCCATGGCAGCGACACCGATATCGGAGAGGTAATCGATGGCCCAGTTGGCATGTCTCTTGAGTGTGCAACGGGCGTAGATATCGTCAATGGGGAAGTATTCCTCTTCGAGCTCGATGGGGTTGGCAGGGACTTTGGCAGTGGTGTGGGTCATCCAGGACAACTCATCGCTCTTGTTCTTGGTAGCCACCAGACGGGAGCGGATCTTCAGGGCCTTTTCTTCTTGGTAGACAACTTGGACTTCACGGGGAGAAGCTGAGGAAATAGGGACGGGGAAGCGGAGGACGACATCATAGACGGAGATACATTCGGCGGCATGGATGAAGGTGTTGATGAGGACGGCGGCAGGTGCGATCTCAGTTCCGTGAAGAGGATGGTTGAGAGGGAACGGCTTGCAGGTCTCGTCAACAACGGTTTGCCAGACACTGGTGTTATTGACACCGGAAACTTGAGTCTTGGCTCCTAGGAGGACATGGGCATTGACGTCGTGGAGCTCGGTAGTAGGGGTGGTCGGGATGCCGACGGTGACCTCATGCCAGTATTTCTCGTGCTGCCAAACGGTAAGAGGGAGGCTAGGGACCCAGGTCTTTCCGACAAACTTCTTGAAGTCAACGACGGCACCGTTGGCGTGGAGGCGACCCAAGGCGGTGTTGATTCCCTCCCAAGCAGGGTGGTTGCGGCGGATAGTGGGGATAACGACAGACTCATCCTCACCAATTTCCATGAGAGTCTCGTTGATTGAGTGAGATACCAACGGGTGGGCGGAGACCTCCAAGAAGACCTTATATCCGTCCTCCGCAGCGGCCTTTACGGCAGAAGTAAGCCAGACAGGACCAAGCATGTTGTTGATCCAGTAATCGCAGTTGCGCAGCTTATCTGTGCGAGCATCGAGATCCGATGTGGAGTACAACTTGATATCGGCCTGTTTGGGAGAGATAGTGTCTCCGAGAAGTCTAGTAAGAGCTGGACCGAGGAAAGTAAGGAGGGGGCTGTGGAAGGCAACATCGGATTTGACGACGCGGACTTGCTGCTGCTGGGTGGCAAGGTAGTCGGAGTACTCCTTGATGGCTTCCGGAGTTCCAGAGACAACAGTAGATGTTGGCGAGGCGTGGATGGAGGCATTGATATCCTTGCGAGACGCACAATCCTTCTCAACATCCTCAAAAGGAATATCCACCAAGATCATTGCGCCTTTACCGGCAACATCTGGGCGCCCATATAGACTAGCCCTGATACTAGCAACACGAGCACCCTCAAGAAGAGTCAGAGCACCGGTGGTGACGGCAGCGGCGATCTCACCAACCGAATGACCAATGATGGCAGCAGGCTTGATACCACGGGATTTGAGGACTGCGGCAAGACCAACGTGCATAGCGAAAGTTAATGCCTGGATTTTATCAGTGGTCTCGAAATCACCGGTCTCGAGTGCTTGTCTTGGAGAGAAGCCCAAAGTCTCTTGGTAAGTGGATTCAAGGGTGTCAATGACCTTCGCAAATTCGGGTTCAGTCTTGAGGAGTTCGACTCCCATGGATGGGTATTGAGCGCCATGGCCGGAGAATACCCAAACGACGTCGTTATTGGTGTTTCCAGAGACGGTGCGGGCCTTGATGATGGTTAAGTCATCGATCCCCCGGGAAAGTTTTTCGAGACTGGCGATGGCACCCTCGTGGTTCTCGGCCACTATCGAAGCACGGACGTGGTGGTGGGCGCGACGGGTAGAAAGAGTGGTGGCAATGGCGGATAGAGGGATCTTTGCGCCTTCGGTCTTTAACCATTCTGCGAGCTTGGCAGCTTGACCCTTGTACCACTTTTCTCCTGGACCAGAGAGCGTGAGAATCACAGGGCCGTTGTTCTCTTCCTTGAGAGCCTCCCTGGAAGGAGCCTCCTCCAACACTAAATGGGAGATGCTACCTCCGTATCCGTATGAACAGACACCAGCCCTGAGTTTCTGGTCTGGGCGAGGCCAGGGTCTGGCATCACGAACAACTTGCAGGCCGCTGCTGGCCCAATCGACAGCAGGGTTCAAGGTCTGAAGGTTAGCTTGTGGGGGTAGTTGGCGGTAGTGAAGGGCGAGGGTTGCCTTGATGACGCCGGCAACACCGGCACCAGCTTCAAGATGGCCGACGTTAGGTTTCACGGAGCCAATGTAACATGGGTTCTCAGCAGTGCGGCCGGCGGCAGATCCGTAGACAGATGTGATAGCGGAAACTTCCTTAGGATCGCCGACACGGGTGGAAGTAGCGTGAGCCTCGACGAAATCAATTGTGCTAGCGTCGAACCCGGCAGCGCTGAGCGCCTTCTTGTAGACCTCCGCCTGTGCTTGGGGGTTCGGCTGCATGATGCCGTTGGTTCGGCCATCCTGCCCGACGGCAGTACCCTTGACGACAGAGAGGATCTGATCACCATCGCGGATGGCGTCCTCGACACGCTTCATGATGACAACAGCGGCACCTTCGCCGCGGCCGTATCCCCTGGCTTCAGCATCGAAAGATCTGCAACGGCCTTCAGGCGATGTAGCACCGGCAACGTCGAGAACACGGATGAGACCAGGTCCGCACATGGCGTTGACACCACCGACGACCGCAACCTCGGATTCGTAGTTCTCGAGAAGTTGCTTTGCGTGGTGGATGGCGATGAGGGAGGAGGCGCAGGCAGCATCTAAGGCAATGGAATTTCCGTGGAGGTCGAGGAGGTATGAGATACGGTTGGGGACACCACAGAAAGAAGAGCCAACACCCATCCAAGCTTCAATTCCGGGCAAATCTTCGAGCATGAGGCGGCCATAGTCGTCTGAGTTGACACCCATCAAGACGGCTGCGTCGCTACCGGCAATGTCGTTGGGGGAGATACCGGCATGCTCCAATGCCTCCCAGGCAACTTCAAGACAGATTCGCTGCTGAGGGTCCATGAGCTCGGCCTCACGGGGTGAGATACCAAAGAAACCGGCATCAAAGCTCTCGAGGTTGTCGAGGAAGGATCCCTTTGTGGTGATTTTTTTCAGGAGTTCGGGGTTGCGGGGATCACGCCTATGGTATGGCTCCCACCTGTGGGAAGGAACGTCGCTCACTGCGTCTTTCTTGTCGAGCATGAAGTTCCATAGTTGCTCGGGGGTGTTAACACCTCCAGCGAAGCGGCATCCAATACCAACGATCGCGACATCGGGAATGTTCTTCTATATCGCGCAAATTGGTTAGCATTTTGGTTCAAGTCTTAAGCAAGGAGAGAGGGTCTTTACTGTAGTTCCAGTCATGTTTACGAGTGCGAATTCTAAGAGTCGTAGTTCTTGGAATTCAAGGTCCTGATGAATGGGGGGTATGGGTTGCGGTGAGCCGGTGAGATTGGAGGTAAGCGGAGGAGTAGGGGTTGATTATTCGCAGAAATTAGAGGTTATAAAGGGTCGAGTCCTCGAAAATTGAAAAAGTGAGAAAATATTTCCTTCTATCGTCTATGATTCCAGCGGCAGTGTCGTTGTCGTAGTCTTCACTAAGAACCTGGGAAGTAGATTGGAATTTTGCTGATTTACGGGGATTTAGGAGCTTATATATGGATTCTCACGACAGACCTGGCTACGGTATTATTGGTGGTATAACCACTTCCCCCCTGAGTTCTAGCTCTAACTGATGCGGAGGTTTACACAGGCCTCACGAATACACATTTGGAAGCTGGGTTCTTCAGCTTTGTCAAAGTTGTCAATCCACAAAGGGTAAGTTTCAATGGATTTCACTCGTGTCCATTGATTCCGCCGGTCGTGTTGGGCTCGGGAAGCATGGATGATCGGACATTAGAGACAATGAGTCAATTGGCTTTCTCTTGTTAGAAATCCGGGGCTGGCGGGCTAAACGGAGAGTATCGTGCTTGGTGTTGAGATCTTGACCCTGATCTTAGGTTCGCCCAACGTCATCTGGGCTCTACCAGGGATACAAAAGACCTAAGATCCATCGAAACCAAGGCCTTTCCAATTGTGAAGCTTTTACCAGCGCCAGTATCAGGGATGACGATTTTGTTCCCAACCGTCGGAGTGAAGGGTTACTTTTCGTATGTTAGTTCTCGTGCATATGCTTGGTCCACGCAGGTCTTCCGGCTTGATAGAGCAAATTAGATTAGATGGAGGAAACCGTTATGTCCTAGATTGGGTCGGAGATCGAATATGATACAAGGACTTTTTTCGATTTAGCGAGTTTCTTATGCCCTTCCCCGAGTAGTACGCGCTACTAGATTGGGCCTGATGACGACAGCAGTTTTCCCTGCACGCGTAGAAAGGGAGGTGCGATTAGATACACTACCCATATAGTCTGCATCCTATCCTATCCTATCCTAACTCAATTCCGGACCCCTCCTCGTACCCTTTCGGTCGTAGTTACGAGGAGGGAAAAGAGAGTCCATTGATGATTGTCAAGCCTGGAGAGAACAACAATTTCGAAGCATCATGGCCAAGCACAGCACAAGACACAAGACGCGGGGAGAGGCCGTCTACCTAGTCTTTCCGGAAACCAAGCACAATGATTTCTCGGAGGTTTCCGAATATAAAACGGTCTACGGTAATCCTGCGCGTTGAATCCGCAGTCTCGGGAGCCTTGGTTCACTCGCACACCCTGAGATAGCATATGCGCAAGCAGGGACACCCATGGCATAGGGTGGGACGAGCGATATATCTAGGGACACAGGGTAAATCTTGCAACAATTCTAGCAACACCTCACTAAATATTTGTGTTGGATCGGCATTAACGACTCCAGTTAAGAACGCCTGTTTGCCAAGCCCCCTCGCTCGAGTAAAAAAAAAAAAAAGAACCGCTACTGTATACCATAACCTAAGCGAACGATGTGATTGGTTGATGACGAGAGCCAGAGCTACTTGGCAGCGTGCACCGGGTAGAAGAAAGTCCTTAACCCTGTGATTTCTGTCTGTGTTAGATTCAGGACGATGTGAATGATATTTATCTATTTAATCTTTGCATTTTTTCAGTTTGATTTCATCGCCGAGAAAAATGCTTGTCACAAGCTTAATCCGGAGGTTATTTTGTCATATGATTACTCTGTTTTGCTGTTCTGGTGGCCTTGTGGTTTCCGGGGTTTTTCTTTTCTTTTCATAATACCGGTATCAGAACTTCCTTTTCTGTCATACTCTTACTTAACCTGTGGAAATGATTGAGATTTACCGGTACTGTGCTTGTATGATATTATGGGGATAGTTTTTTGGTGTCTTCGCTCCACTTAGGGTTATTTTCTGATAAGGCTTGGGTCGCAACATGGATATAGAACTATCAGGTTCCTGTAATGGGCGTATGATAGTTTACGGTAATTTCGGTACCGGTATGGTATGATATATATATGATATTTGTGTTTGATACGGTGGGCATATCCGCTTGAACGCTGTTTTGGAAGATTTTCTTGGGTGGGGGGGAGGAAAAAGGGAGAAAACCCTGATTCTATCACTTGTAGATTGGGATAGTTCTATCGGGAGTTTAGGCATGGGCGAGGGTGATATACGACCGCTGCGATATAACATGAATGCACTCGTACCGTACCGGAACCTTCTCCGGCTGCTCCAAATTCAGGCATCGGACTGAGCAAGTGTGAGTACGGTCCCACCCGACGCAATCTTCGGTGTTCGCCTCTCGATTGACCCCCCCACCC